ACCTCCCTAAACTCTATAAACCCCAAACCCTAAACCCTAAACCCTAAACCCCAAACCCTAAACCCTAAACCCTAAACCCCAAACCCTAAACCCTAAACCCGTTCAGGGCTCAGGGACCTGGACCTCGTCGGTCCTGGCCCTTTCCAGGGGATCCAACAGCAGCTCCACAGCATCCTCGCATCGGGTGTTCGTCTCGACGGGGCTGAATGTAGGGGCCGTAACAATAACTAGAACAGGGTTTTGGGGCATAGTATACTGTAAATTACATAAAGGACCCCCCAATTCAAAATGACAGAGGTAATTATAGGGTTTGGGGGCATAGTATACTGTAAATTACAATAAGGCGCCCCCAGTTCAAAATGATAGAGGTAATTATCTAGGCCTCTATACTGGGGTCTTGTGATGTTTGGGCTTTGTGGTTTAGGGGCTTAGTGCTTCGAGGGCTCCCGGAGAGCTTCAGGGAGTATCTTTTCAGGAGCTTACACGTTTTTTTTGGTTTTTTTCTTTTTTTTGGCGGGGGGTTTAGAATTTAGGGTTTAGGGGTTCTATGAGGGCCTTACTGGTAGAAGGGGCTTGGCCTGGTTGTGGTTGAGGGTTTGGGGTTTAGGGTTCTTGTTGGCTTGGGTGGGGTGTGGGGTTTGGGACCACGGATTTAGGACCTCACTGGTTTTTGGGCATTAGGACCAGTTTGCTTTAGAGACTTGGACTTACGGGCGTGGTGTTTGAGGTTTGGCTTACGATTACGGGATATGTAGGGCTGTTTCGGCTTCGGGTATAGAGTTCAGGGATTGGGCTGTGTCGGAGTTTGGGGCGAACGGTTTTGGAGCTTTACCTCCACATGGGTATTCTTGGCCGGCACGATGTGTTGAATGCAGGGTTCTCTATCCGCATGCTCGAAGATAGGCTTCCACGCAACTTTGTATTCGATGTGGGTCGTGCAGTAGCCATACACGATCATAAGGGCACGTCTGCCCTTCACCTTTCTGCACATTACACCGGCGCGGCGTATCCATTCCTCCACTTGTGCCTCGGAATGGCTTCACCTCATCTCAAAGGCAGCTGCAGGAGCAAGGACGTCCACGGTCTGCAAGGCCATGCTTTCCAGACCCTGCAACTCAGCAACTCGGTGGGCGATCCAGGGCACTTCGCATTCCAGGCAAAAGCTTCTCTTTGTAGGAATGACTGAGAAAACTGACCCCCTCATAGCATCAGAACGATGAGCCGAAGTGCTAAACCGATGTCGCGTGCCGTCCATGCAGACTCCCAATGGCATGTAAGAACCGGGAGGGCACCATTTTGGAGCCCTTGCTCCTGTATTTCGAACACTGTGTCGCAGGATGAAGAAGTAATGTAGGGGCCTTAATAGTCAGAATTTGGTCTTGGGCAAATAAAAAGTTATACTTATAATAAGGAGCCTGCAAAGTAGCATCGGTAATTAAATTATTAAGGCCTCTATACTAATGTCGATACCGTAGCCCCGGAAACTGGAGCACACCTGTATCGAGCCCATAAGCAAGAAAACCTGTCCACCTAAACCCTAAACCCTAAACCTCATCCCAAGGTTGTAGTGCTAAAAAGGTTTATGCTGTAGGGCGATCTTTACGATGCACACGAGGCTAGCCAGAAATCCTACTGTAAGCCCTAAACCCTAAACCCTAAACCCTAAAACCTAAAACCGGAAACCCAAACCCTAAAGGTGTCATTGAAAATGGAAACCTCCGAGTCCTTGAGCAACTTGGAGACCTCCCCGCCCGAGCAGAGGGGCTTGACCTCTGAGCACGGCGTAGGCTTTCCAGGGTTTAGGTCTTAGGGTTCAGGGTTTAACATGGGTTTAAGGTTTAGGGGCTTAGGGTTTAGGTTTTAGGGTTTAGGGTTTAGGGTTTAGGGTTTAGGGGTTTAGGGTTTAGGTTTTAGGATTTAGAGTTTGAGGGCCAATAGAACCCTAAACCCAAAACCCTAAACCCAATATATAATTGTGCGGATTGTCGGGCCTTGGGTTTAGAGATTCGGGTCGGGGGTTCAGGGGTCCGTTAGCGTTCAGGGTACATGGAGTCGGATCACTTAGTCATGATATCCCCTTTCGGGTCACTGCGAGGTGATACTAGGGTTTAGGGTATAGGGTTCAAGAAGCCCCAAAGGCCTGTGTGACTCCCATATTATGTGTTTCAAGGAGTCTGGGTGTCCTTCCTGTTAGGTCTGTTAGGTGGGGACTTGGAGACGCAGGTGAGGGGGGTTTGCATGCTGCTTAAGGCTCTTGCCGAACCCAAATCCTAAACCCTAACCGCCCAGCAATGCAATGACCACCTCGAGGAAGGAAGCAGTACGACCCACTGATGCAGCAGAAGGACCGGGCCACCAGCCCCCGCGCGCATCTGAATTCAACTGGCCTGCAAAACCACCCGAAGCCCTGAACCCTGAACCCTAGACCTTCCCTAACCCCCAAACCCCAAACCCTGAACCCTGAACCCTAAACCCTAAACCCTAAACCCTAAACCCTAAACCCTAAACCCTAAACACTGAACCCTAAACCCTAAACCCTGAACCCAAACCTGGCCAGAACCCTCGAGCTCCAAAATGAGGCACCTGTGAATCTTCCCGGCCGTCCGGGTGCAAGTCCCCGCGACGCTACGAACACTCTATGGATCCTAGAAGGGTTTTAGAGTTTAGGGTCTAGAGTTTAGGGAAATTCCTAAACCCTAAACCCTAAACCCTTTTAGGGTTTAGGGTTTAGGCTAGGATTTGGGGTTTAGGGATGGGGTTGAAGAGCTAGCCTGCCTGGGACTGCTTCTTAGATGGCGGCCTGGGTCATTTCATTCTTCAGGTGGTTTAGGGTTTAGGATTTAGGGTTTAGGGCTTAGGGTGTAGGGTTTAGGGTTTAGGGTTTAGGGATTACGGTTTAAGGTTCAGGGTTAAAGCCTACACCGCAAGCGTCTTACCTCGCATGACAAGCCGTGCTACCTGACGGTCGCGATGATATCGGCAGGCAGAACACCCATGGATTCCAGAAGATACCCATAGCGAGCGTACTGTTGGCGCTTCTCGTGCAATTCTACCAAAGCCTCTCTCACGTTAGGAGGCAACTTCAAATCGCTGTACATGTTCATGATGATGGTCTTGAACTCGGACAGCTTCATGTCGTTGACCTTGTACTCGGACTCCTCCACCGGGCAACAGTAACGGAGCCGTTCCTGCTCGAAGATTCAACCCCACTTCTACGGCAGCCCTACGAAATCCTAAACCGACAATCCATAGCCCGGAAGTGCTCCTGCCCTACCCCGATTCAGGGTCCTGTATAAAAAGGGTGCCGTAATTTTTTGGGGTTCCTAAAAGTGGACCCTCATGAAGAGAACTACCCTTTCAGAGGTCGCGATGATTAGTCCAAATTTCACCCTCTAGTCCCTACATAATTATAACACAATACAGTCCAAGAAACCCTATTCTGATGATTAATGCTCCTAAACTAGACTACGCCCGATGCCCTCCAAAACCTAATGTAGCTGCCTCAATAAAAACAATAAGTATTCTATAATTATAATAAGGAACCCCCAAAATAGTATAGGTGATTATTTAGGCCCCTATCTTAAACCCCGTATCCCCTAAGCCCCCCCAGAACCCCCAGACCTGGTCGAAGCCCCAGAAGCGAAACATCGGTCCTCTCACCGTCAGTTGATTTGCGTTAAACGCCAACTTGATCACATCAGTGTAAGGCTTGTGTCAAAAAAAATGTGTAATGGCGCCGCTTCAGGTTTAGGGTTCGGGGTCTCGGGGTCGGGTTGCAGGGCTTTGCTTTAGGGTACAAATCGTCTCCAGGCTGCCCCTGACCTAATTTAGACATAATTGAGGCTGTACAGCGAGTACGAAAAGGCCTGGCTACTTCTGCTTTCTTGTGGGGTTTGGGATTTGGGGTTTAGGGCTTAGAGCTTAGGACATCAACGCTAGGCCTTGAAACTCCACGAGAGCCTCATGATACCCACGTAAAATCTACCGAGCCAGCGGATCCGGAAACAAGAACCCTCAAAGGAATAGGGCCTTGGGTTTCGGGTTTAGGATTTTGGGGTTCAGGGTTCAGGGTAAACCTCACGAAACAGAAACCCCACGGCCCTGTGTTCCTTTACATCCTAGTCTTAGTCCTCGAAACGAGCCGAGGTACCAGAAATGATAGTAAGAAGAAGACGAAGAATAGCAATCACAACGGGCACCAGTAATTTCAGAAACCATGGTTCAGAAACCAAGAGGGCGATTCAGAAACCAACAACGGCAATTCAGAAACAACAAAGTGACAATCATGCCACGAGGCCCCTAACCCGCGGCGGCAACCAACCCGTCCTGATCCATCCGAATCCAACCACACCCAAACCTGCGTCGCCGCACCTCACCCTACCCTGCCCCACCAGGCCAGCTGGCCGCCCCAAATTACCGAAGCTTGGTTTCTGAGGCTCGGCCGCAATTGAACCCTAAACCCCTACATTGCTAAACCCTCAACCCGAAACCCTAAACCCCTAAATTCCTGAATCCTGAATCCGAAACCGCTGAACCCCTTAACTCTAAACCCAAAAATAGTTAAATCCTAAACCCTAAACTCTAAACCCCAAAGCCCTAGACAGTCCTGACGCAATACTGAGCCAGGAACGTCGCTGCGCGGCCACTGTGGCTTTTAGCCGTTCCCGAAAAGTTCGATCCTGTTTGGGGTTTCAGAATGTGGAAATGGGAGTTTGTGAATATTATGGCATAGTTATATTATCGGCGCTCCGGGGTTTAAGGACAAAAAACTCAAGCCTTGATATTGACCCAACAACCTTTCGCTTTTCTGTGCTCTATATATTGGAAAGGACCTTAACAAGGGCCATGACGTGATCCATACATAATTAGAGACTAACTCATCCCTGTCTTAAGCTTTCAAGCCCTGCAACTCCCGTTCAGCCGTAGACCCGAAACCCCATCCCCGAACTTTCACCCGCAACCGTCATCCCTACCCAGAAGTCTCTCTAATCTTTTGGGGTAGGCGGCTGGTCGAGCGATCAGCAAGACCCGGAGCAAGGGAGCCCCAGGCTGGCGACCGAGCTGGCTTCCAGGCGTGTATATTAGGCCAGTTAGATATATCATAACCCCATGCCGGGTTCAACTGGGGCACCCGACTGCCGACTGCCCTGACCTGCCCCGCCCCTGCTGCCCCTGCCCCTCCCCTGCCGCTGGCCTGACCTGCCCTGCAACAGGCTCAGGCCGACAACTCGAACAAAGCAGACTCACGCCCCGCCGACAGCCCGAGCGCCCGCTGTGCCCCCGCGCCAACGGCACTTACCGTCTATATGGAGGGGGTGCACCCACACGCAGCGTCTGTTCTCACTCATGCAAGACAGATGCCCAATCCTTCGCGCAAAAGATCTTTGTCGCCCCATACGTTGCTGTCGAGCTCAGGCTGCAATACGGCTGCCGCAACCGCACATGTGACATGTATGTGTGTGTGTGTATATATATATATATTCTGAGCTTATGTCTGACATGCTCGTACTTTCTTTCGTTGAGGCTCCCGGCTGTAAGTTTCGCAGAGTCCTTCATCATGGAGCAAACTAAGGCTTCGCCACAATGCAGCCTTCACGAAAAACTTCAGTAACAACATTGCGAAGACCCGGCACCGAAAACACACTCCTTCAGTCGTGCATGTACTCTCGCCTTACCTGTGCGAAAAACCATATAAAGCCGTATGCCCTGAGAGTTGTAAGTAGGTGGCCTTGGGGTGGGTAAGCCTGCAGGCCGACGCGCGCCCACAAAAGCGCGCTTTCGCATGGCACACCCTGATCCCCTAAACCCTAAGTCCCTAAACCCTAAACCCCTAGACTCTAAACCCTAAACCCTTAGACTCTAAACCCTATAAGCCCTAAACGCTTAGACTCTAAACCCTAAACCCCAAACCCTATCGTGGGCACAGGGGCCTCCATGAGCAAGCGCGCTGCTCGTCTCATCACTGAGGGTTGTGCCTGCCGACACTCAGGCTGAGGGCTTTGGGTTTCGGGCTTAGGGTTGAGGGTTTGAAGCTATCAACCACATGAACCTCTCGACCGTACCCTTGGACTTGTACCATCCAGAACAGAAAACCTCAAGCAAAGGCTTAGCCGCTTCCCCGAGGAGCTATGCCGTGTAAGATGCCTCAATACCTTGCGCCTTCATACTGGCGCATTAAAAGACCCTAAATTCAATAAGGCTTTTGGGGCCCATTTACAGTATACTTATAATATGGAACCTCCAAAATAGTATTAGTAATTGTTTAGGCCCCAATATTCAACCCGCAAGCTCTGGACCGGCCTGAACCCTGCAATTCGGAAATCCTAAGCTCCAGCGACTCGGGTGAGTTGGCTAGCCACGTCTGCTGCCAAGCTCTGGAAGAGAGTCTGTTCCACCGATATGAAGGGCCCAGAGAGCTGTAGGAAAGCACGCGCCTTTCGTTTATTGACTTATGCTATTTGGTGGTAAGTCATGCGCCTTTCTTTTCATAATTCCTGCATTTTGGTGGGGCCCTATACATCGTTAAGAACATGCAGGTGTATGTCGACACACCTGTCCAAAAAGAATCCAGCGTTCTGCGACTCTTGCTTTTGGATAGGGGCACTGCACATTCAAACAAATCGCGCTTGCGCGCAACACCTGCTTTTGGTGGGACGCCACGACTTTCCATGATCCGCGCGTGGTCTGGTTGAATATTGGTGTCTAATATGTTTCGTCTGAACAGCTTGTGTTTTTGCTTCAAATGTGTCTGGCATGCCTGAGTTGAAGCTTCACAAGTCGTCACAAAAAATGCACTGCGGCCTGCAAAAGAATGACCAGTTTGCGAAGAATCTCTGGGGGGAGATCCATGCGCAAGAGGAGGTCTGAGCGCTTTTGATCGGCTCTCTGCACCACAACAGCCTGGCAACAAGAGGGAAGTGTGATGTCAATGGAAAGCATCCGAGCTGTGGGCGTTACCCAAGCCCCCCGAAAGGGATGACTGCGTGGCCCTGGCCTGAAAGTTATACGTCGCACCAAGGTCTTTTCGAAAGGGAGCGGGGAGGGGGCAGAAGAAGTAAGTGAACTAACCCTTCAGCAGGTCCCACCGATTCCTTATCCTCGACCTAAATGGGGTGGGCGACCTTCTGAATGGGGCCCACCCCTCCCCTCCCCCTCCCCCCTACCCTCCACACCCTCCCTACCCGCCTTCCCCACATGGCCTAACCCAAGGCTCTTAAGAGACAGTTTAGGGTTTCGGGTTGGGGTACTGTAAATTATAAAGCCTACTATCAAGAGTCCATATAGGCTAGAAGGGTCCCCATAAAAGCTAAGCCCCAACTCGTAGACGCTGAAACCCTAAACCCCGAGACTTTGGTGGAAGAACCCCAAAGCCCGAAACCCCAAATGCACGACCCTAGACTTTAAAGGGTTTCGAGTTTAGGGTTTAGGGCCTACAATCCAAATCCCCAACTCAAAACTTCAAGATACCTCAAGCCCTATAATTGAAACCCTTGACACAGTAAAACCTCCGTCGCAGCAGCATTTGCTGCGTTCTTGTTCAGGAACTTATTTCGAGTTACCGCACTAGGGGTCTATAGTACATAATGGGGATTCCTATATCCTATATTATGTCAATGAAGTTCTTTGATAAGGACCCAGCTTAACAGCCAGAGTAGGGTTTGCGGGTTTCTCATACCACAACTATAGCAGAACTCCAAGGGCCAATACTATTTGCAATCATCCCGACCTCTTTCCTTAACCTGCAAGCCCTAAACCCCAAACCCTGAACCCTAACCCCTAAACCCTACCCCCCCCTTGGGCCTCGAACTCCATCTCATGGATCTCCCACTCTTCCAGCGCCGCGTGCACTTCAAACAGGTCGTACCGGCCGTCCTTCACAGACAGTTAAGGTTTAGGATTTCGAGTCTGGAGATTAAGGTTCAAAAAGCCACTCACCATATCTTCTCTGCTTTAAGTGAATAATCTCTGTCTTAGGTTAAGTATGGCCTCTTCTACACCAAGTTCATAAACATGGCTCATTACGATTCGTCAGATACTCCGTAATACTGTAGTATAGAGGTCTGAAGAAATCGAACTCATATGCCTTTGTGGTCCCTATATGTAATCAATTATGCTATAATACACCCCCGATCCTATTCCAAGCACCGAGGCCTCCCTACTATTGGGCTCGTTGTGTGCTGCAAGCTTATGAACTCACGACTGCTAGGCTTCAAGATGTAGGCCTTAGAGATTACGGGCATCCAACAATTCAAGGTCTACTTTAGGTCCGTTGTTGCCTGCGCTCCATGTCGCAAAGCAATATGCAAACTGTGTATTGTCAACGCTATTTGGTGCTGATAGAGGAACCATGCTGGGCTTTTCAGCACCTCGCCTCGCGGATGGTGGCTCCAAATTTGTCAATGAAGTCGATCAGCTCCTGTGTCGCGGGGAACCTCAACCCTAAACCTTAAAGCCTACATTAAGTGAGAGGAGACAGGGCCACAACTGATCCAGTCACGTCGCAGTTTCATGTGCTCCTTGCGTGTTTGCCCATGTTGTTCTGCAACGGTTTGAAGCTCCTGCTTCGCAGATTAAGACGGAAGCCTCAATCAAGAATGGTTCCTTGCTATGCATCTACTACAGCATAACCACAAACCCTATTCTAATTATCGAGGCCCTTTTTCCAACCCTCGAAAGGAACATTTTACAGAAGCCCTATTCGAAAGATCGAAGCCCTTGTCTTTAGATGTTGAAGCTCTGTGCTCATGGCCTCCTTCAAGAGGTACTCCTTGCAGAATGGGCACTGGCTCCTCGGAAAGGTCGGTGTGCTGTTAGTTTCGGATTTAGGGTTTAGGGTTTAGGGTGTGGGTGGGTGTGGGAATAGGGGCGCACTCAATTAACCCGAGCTTGCGTCAGCAGGTAGTCCCGCCCCAACCACCCCAACTATTCTCAATCATAGGGTTTAGGGTTCACCCCCCAAACCCCTCTCAAGGGGGGCTTTCTTTCTGTCTGCCCCTCGCAATTCTGCACAACATGCGCGTTTCACAGCAGAGCTGGATTCGTGTCGGGTTGTGGGTCCGCGCGGCCTGTGCCGGCCGCTCGACGCGAAGCAAGGATCCCCCCGCCAAAGGGAGGGCACGGACTTCATCTTGCGGAAACCCTAAACCGCCCAAGAAGGCCCTGGAAAGCCACTTGGGAAGCCCTTAAAGGCCTTGGACCGCCCTAAACGAAGGGCTTTCGGGAAACTGGCCAGGTCGCCTACTGGGACCGGGCGAAGAGCCCCCGCATCTAGCCTTACTCTCTGGTGATGAGTGCGGCGTCACCCGGCCGGGGGCCTCGGTCGGAGCCTCGAGCGCCCATGCAAATGGTCACCGGCGCTCTCGGCAGTTTAGGGTGCAGGGCCAGTGGGCCCAGGGTTTAGGATTTAAGGTTTAGGGTTCAGGGCTTACGGTCGGGTATGGGTTGTGAGTGATTCGGATAATCCGAACCCTGAAGCTTAAACACGGACCTCTGAAGCCTTGACTCCTCAGCCTGCGTCTAAGGACGTGTATGAGGAATTTCATAACCAGGACTCCCAAAATGGTAGGCTTTTGGCCCCCCTGGTAATTGCCAAGCGGCTGTCCATATTCGAGCCTGCAACTTCCGCACATCCGATGCTCTGACACCTCTGCTGGATAGGGCTTAGGGCTTAGGGTTTAGGGTTTAGGGTTTAAGGTTTAGGGTTTAGGTTTCTAGGGTTTGGGGATTCGGGTTTTTTGTCTTGGGGTTTAGGGAAGTTTAGGGCTTTAGGATGTAGGGTTGAGGGCTTCGGGGGTTTTACGGCTTGGGTTTAGGCGTGGCGTGAGGCTTGGGGACGGGGGGGGGGGGCCCTAAACCCTAAACCCTAAACCGGGGGGGAGGTTAGGGGTTTACGGTTTGAAGCAGTTCAGCTTTCCCTCGAAGCCACGCTTGCATCTCGCACCTTGCTGCCCGAAGTCAAGTGGGACTTTCCGAAAATAGGGGACCCTAATATGGTACCCAAATAGTAGGATCCCTACTATAAGGACCCCAAAATAAGGTACCCCTAATTTTCGGAAACTCCCAAGTATGGTTAACTCATAGAGCTGGGTTTCGTGGCGATAAGATCTGGGGCTGCGGGTTTAGGTACTCTTTGGGGGCCTTTTCAAACCCTAGACCCTACCCATAGGCCCTAAAGTGGTTCCTGTTTGGGGGTTCATATATAGAATCCTAAAGTAAACCCCAAAAAGGAACTACTATGCGGCCTATGGGTAAACCCTGTTGACCCACAACTTCGGATCCGGCGTTGGACCTGAAGCCCTGCCCCGGCCAAGGAACGTCCCCCTTCGGACTCCAATGCTCCAGGCATTCCACGTCAAGCTTCTCCTGTGCAGGGCAAGAGTCGAAAGTCGAAACCACGAAGTCCGAGGTGCAGCTCGCAGAACTTACAACCCTAAACCCTAAAACCTAAACCCTAAAACCTAAACCCTAAACCCTAAACCCTAAACCCAACCACACCCAACCGTGTGCGACGACAGAAGATGAGGCTTCCAGCGCTTCAAGAGCTTCTAGGATCCAGAGCTCAGGATGTGGTGCGGGGGCGTCCGATTTCGGCTCAACTGCGAGCTGAGAGAACCCTACAAGCTTCAAAGTCCTATTTTTTGTAGGGGCGCTCATGATGAGAATAGGGTATGGGGTAGATTATAACAAGGAACCCCCAAAACCCTATTCTAATTATGAAGGCCCCTACTGTGGGGTATATGATAATAACAAGGAACCCCCAAAACCCTATTCTAACTCATAAGGCCCCTGCATTACGCTATACACGTGAGCGATGGGCTCCCTGAAAGGCCACCCGCGCCTCGTAGCAGATGGGACCTGCTGCATCGGCTTTGGCGCCGGGTTTGAGGTTCTAGGCAGTTTGTAGGGTGGGGGGGGGGGGGGGGGG